TTCATGATGAGATTCATCATGGTGTGGTTCATGGTGAAATTCACCATGTTGAGATTCATGGTGAAATCCATCATGTTGAGATTCATGATGAGATTCATGATGAGATTCATCATGGTGTGGTTCATGATGATACTCATCATGATGTGGTTCATGATGAGATTCATAATGTTGTGGTTCGTGTTGAGGTTTATGTTGAGATTCATGTTGAGGTTCATGATGATATTCATGATGTTGAAGTTCATGATGAGGTTCCTGGTGGTAATCTTTGGAATGTTCAGATGAGTGTTCGGATGAGTGTTCAGATGAGTGTTCAGGTGAGTGTTCTTTTATGAAAGATTCATAATTATATTCTTCAGTATGTTTATGATTTTTATGATGTTTATTATGCTTATGATTTTTGCGATGTTTATGATTTTTGCGATGTTTATGATGATGTCTTAAGCCTCGTATTTCGCGATTAATTTCTGGAAAGTCATCTTGGTGACCGGTAGTGATGGTTAGTAATAAGAGAAAAATGAAGGCGAATAAAAATGGAATGGAGCGAGGCAAATTCATGTTGGAGGGATATAAAATCCCAATGTGGGGGGGAATGTGATATTAGGATCTATTATCTGCTAATAATTGAATTTTGACTCTTTTTATAATGAAAAATTGATATAGTCATAAGCATACTATTGGTTTAGCGTTTATACATATGGATTAAAAAGCAATATAAAGCTTATCATTTCTAATCAACTCTATTATTGTAATTATTTACGTTAATGATACGGTTTATAATTTTACTGCAAAGTTTTTAAATTTAATAAATTTGATAAAAGGTAAACAATGAACAGTAGTACTAAGTAACATACAATATGTAGGTTTGAAAACAAGCCATGATCAATTAATTAATAAATTAATTATTTAGAAATTTCTGAAATGCAAAATTTTTATGTGCGTACATAATTTAATCGGAAGTTTTTATTTAGAGTAGGTGTCACCTAAACCAAATTTTTTCAAATTTAGCAGTGAAAGATTATACAATTGCACAAGTTCGAATTGTGTGTGCTAAATGTTCATAGAAATTAAGTTATTCAAAATACATGTGATATTTCAAACGAATGTAGAAGCGCAATACATTACAGCACATAGCATATAGAGATTAAGTTACATATACCATGCATAGATAGTCTTAAACATAAAAATTAAAAAGGTTAGATCACATAAAACTAAAGGTCTCTTAAATTTAAATAGAATTAAACTGGCCTTTTGTCGTTCAAAAAAAAAAAAAAAAAAACTACATGCAGTATAAAGAAAGTACATTGTCAAAGATGGTAAAAAAAAAACTATTGGATCGGGTTCTTGAGTGACAGATATGGGCACAAGTTTTATTAGTGCTAGGCTTGTGCTCGGGCATCATTTTAGATAGACCATGACGGCATTTACAGTGCTCTACTATTTAAAACCGGTAAAAATATTAAATTTTAGGTTTGATCATTTAAAACGGTAAAAATATTATTGAAATTTAATTTTAATTATTTTTAAACTTTAAAAATATTATTTAATTTTAATTATTTAAAACAGTAAAAAAGATTAATGAATTTCACTTAATTATTTTAAAAACAAAAATTTAATATAGCGTAGCGCCAAAATGTGCTATGTTTATTTATTTATTTATTTGTTCTTTGTGAATAACTTGATCCCAATAGTTGACATTCTTCAAAATAAAAATCCATTTCATATATAGTTAAGGCTGAAATTTCACATTAAAACACTACATTATAAAAGTAAGAAAATACTAATTGGATAATATAATAAGAATTACAATAAGAAAAATTTTAATCGGACGGTAAAATAACAATAATACTAATAATAATAATAATAAACTTCAAATTATTTGTTTGGATTCACAATGCATCTAATGTTTACAAGATGTAAGTTTATGTAGCCTAATTTGCGCAATATTTTTTTTGGTTGTTTTATTAAGATAACCTGATTATTGCATACAAATATTGTTATTACTCAATGACACTTCATATGTAACCAAATTGTCTATCTGGTGTTTTGCGGTTTTATAACTTTAGATAGATAAAAGTATTGTATCACAAAATTACGTTTGTGTAATATAAAGCACCATCTGTATTTGAGTTGTAAAGTCATTGAAGGATGTAGCTTACAAAATGTTTGCATAATCTAATGCTAACTAATATAATGCGCCAAAATCAGTCGTAGTACCAGAATAGGAAGTAAAAATATTAGCGAATACTATGAGAGTTATTAATTAATGTGAATCTAAGAATCTCAGATTAATAAAATACTGAAAATATTAAATAAAGACAACTACCTAATCTACCTAACGCACGTTATGCTGCATAACTAGATTTTAACAATTACTTGTAATTTCAAATTTAAATGAAATTAATTAATGGCTTTTTTTTTTTCTTTGAATAAAAATTGTTAGTTTACGGGCATTATGCATTATGCGTCTTGTAAATATTTTCCGAGAAAACATTTATGTACACACATGCACAGATATTTATGTACAACATGAATGTAAATATAGGTATACAGTAAGAATCAATAACATTTAATCTGAAACCAATGAAATTATGAATGGAATGTCGAATGGTAAATGCAAATAACGAATAGTACGATAAAATATTAATAATGTTCGTGATTAGCGTGAGAATTAGGGCGCCGGTAACAACTATAATTGTTATGTGAAACCATTTTAGTATGGCGAAAACGGGGAAAGGCGAGACTCTGGCAAAAAAACCTCCCAAATTTCCCTGACGAAGGCGAAACTTGAAATCAGAAATGACGAAAGCAAAACTGGATATCCCTAATGAAAGCCAAGACAGTGTCATGACCAGGCGAAATCAATAAGGTTGCAAACAAGCCATTTCCCTAATGGCAAGATAAGGCTTAGTTGTTAGACATTGTGTTATTGGACACAGAAATGCGACTTATAAGGAAAGCGCTGGTTTCTGTATTTATGTGTTACGAATACAATATTGGGTAGAAGATGAAAAATAAAATGTTTTTTGGTGAACAAATTAAACCTAAATTTAAATCATTATTCATAAATAATGATCAAATTTAGAACTACTGTCTTTTTATTTGGCAGCTCTCAGTTACACATTATATATTCATTGGACTCTGATCTTCATAAACAGATTTCTAGTCTTTCTTATAATTACTATATTTGTTGCTACATTGCTATATTAGCTTTGTCACACTTTTTTTTTCTTGGTTTCGTAAGTTTGCCAGTCCGTATCCAGAAAATGTATCCGTATCAGATTGGCGGCTGGTGTCACGGAGTTTTCTAGACTACCGTGTACTTCTTGGCTTTCACTAACGTTTCGCACTTGCTTGGCTAATTTCCACATAGACTGTGTATTGTACAGGTCCTTCCACCTATACAGAGAAAACCACTCAGTTTAAGATTAAGGTTTTTATACAAGGCTAATAAAGTATTTTTTATTAGAAAATTTAAATATTACAAGATTTCATCCAGATATTAATTTACCTGGTTACACGCATTATACTACATATCTACAAATTACCTAATAGCCCAATGCCAAGGAATCCCGGATTACAAATTAATCCATGATCTGGTAAAATACTTGGCTTTTCAGTTTGTGCAATAAAGGTACTATATGGGATATTTGTTAGGAAAATCACCCTTCGGGATTTTCCGATCGGCTAATTCGGAAAGGTTTAGACCAGAATGCCGATTCTTATTCAGTGTAAATCACCTTTTGCTTTATTTATTCGATAGTTTATCAAATAAACTGTCGAATCAGTAAAGTAAAAAGATGGTTTATATATGAATAAGAATCGACATTCTGGTCTAAACTTTTCCGAATTGGCCCAATCGGAAAATCTCGAAGGGTGATTTTCCTAGCAAAGATCCCATATTCTCTGGTAGCAAATTTAATTTCTGTGATATGATAATTTTTTGACTGTCTTTTGCACAATCACATCAAATAAATAAAATTAGATAGTTTAACAAAAGCAGAAAATTTACACTGAGATAAATTAAAAAAAAATTTTGAATGTACAAATTGAAATTCTGATGATAGTAATGTCGATGTATAAAACAGTTTCATATAATGCACAAGAATGATCACTATCGAATGCTAGAATTGCACACATGGTATATTCGTTTTTTTGTTCATATACAATATCATGAATTGGTAACTTCTATGTTATTTTGTTTTGTTCGGTTACAGTACGTACGTATGTACCAGGGACAATGATTTTATGTGTTTCACACCACAGAATTCACATAAAGATGTTTATATCACATAATATCATCGCAGAATATGATAATTTGGTAATCTAATGGCGAGTTGATGAATAAAGTCTAACGGATCCAGAACCTCCCGACAAAGAAATTGAATGAGCTCAAATTACTAGCATGGTCATGAAAATTTTTTGAAATAAAGTCAGAAAAGTTCCGACAAATTTGGCCATGTGTACCACAGAATCGCACAGAATTCGGCCAAGCATACAGAATCGTATATAATTTGATACAACAGAATCGCACGAATATGTTTCACATCACATAACGTAATTTTCTGTTACACGAAATTTTGACCAATAGAAATAAATAGATCACTACAACAATAACAAAGATATCCAAACAAAATTTGATTTTTATTTTATTTTGGTTCTACGAGTATGTTGATCAAACAAATAAGTTCGTCGAATTTAGTTTAGTGGTTGTCAAGATATCTCCATTTAAATTCGTCAAACGCAACGTCATATGGCGTCCCTCTAGGGAGGAGGCTTTTTTTTTAAAAAAAAAATAAAATAAAAAAATAAAAATAAAATTGTCAAATAAATTAAATTCTATTCACGTCAGTAGAATTTTTTTAAAATTTTAAACGAAGATATCTCAAACAACTTTTTTTATTTGGATTTTACATAATTATTGAATCAAAATAAAAAAATTTTCATCGAATTTTGTTTGGTGATTGTTGAGTATTTTCGTCTAAAGTGTGTCAACGAACTAAACCTTCTATTAAATTCAAGAAAGTGGAATTTTTAAAAATTTAAACGAAGATATCTCGACAACCACCAAACCAAATTCGATGTTTTTTTTTAAAAAAAAAATTATTTAGTGATCTTCATTATGTGTAGTTATTTTTGTTGGTCAAAATTTCATGTAACCGAAAATTTTGTGTGATTTTGCACCTACGTACGTACCTAATGTTTGAATCCGTCCGCTGGAATATTCGATTGATATCCGACTACTTTAATCCGGCGTAACGGTAATAAAGCATTTGATAAAAGCAGTGGCGTAATGTTAATTATTTAAAATAAAGGTTTTTCGGGTGAATGATTAAATTTCTACTTCATTATTGTTATTCTGTAAAACTCTTGTGTACGAATAAATTGTGACAACGAAAACAGAAAAAAACAAACCGAGCTTTTAGTGGGGAAACTTAAGTAATTGAAAAATACCAGAATTAGCAATTTATTAAATAAGGAATAAGGATTCTTTGTATAAATATTTCAATGTTTCGTCAAAATAAATATATAAGCCACTCGTTATAATGAAATAATCG